AAGAAGATTCATATTATGTGCAATATATGATAAAAATATATCAAAAACTAAATAGAGACAATTTCCCAGCAACAACTACAAAGTATTTGATCGGAAAGTCATCTAATATATAACTACGGATGTATGCAAGTATATATATAAATATATAGTCAACTTAAGTATCATAAGAAGCCATTCGTTTCCATTTCTGGAGATATCTGAAGTCCAAGAAACTGCAATGGAATATTCAGCTTTTGTATATGCATAAGTATATGTTTATATGTATGTATATATAAGATATTTTATATATACGGAATATTTTGACTGGCCAATATAGATTTTCAACAGATAATCAGTTGTGAAGCTTAGGAATGTGGAACCTACACGTGTGTATAGTTTCTCCAGTCAAAACTTGACTTTTTATGCCGTGACCCATTACAAGGGGAACTCAGGATATAATGCTTTTATGTAACAGAGGCAGAGACGTAGCAGACCTCATAAAGCATATTTATTTTTGATCAGGACGACGAGCATCTGTCCGCACGTTCAATAAACCACAAACTAGAAACTTGAAATTTGAAAGTTGATCAATTTGTGCGATAACTCATCTCATAGCCTTGTAATCGATACAAATCGATACAAATGCTATTTGTTTTAGACTTTAGAGTTACTCTGCGGGTTCCTTAAGAGATTTGTGCTCAGGCAAATACAAACTTAGGAGTGTCATTAACACACTCAAGATTTAATTCAGAAACTCCATTTAGAAAACTTAATCAACAATTAATTATCCACATGAAAGTCCATGCTGCAGTCTGCAGCGCAGTCGCTGCGCAAACTGCGCAGTAAGCAGAGCTCGTGCTTATGCATCTCTATATATGTGTGTGTGTGGAATGGCTGTTGCCATGTTTGTATCAAAGAATCGTAGAATGAATGGAATATTACTGCTTCGACGTACCCTTAAAATCATATTTTATCAGAGAGAGATTGAACTTGGCGTGAATATGAAAATATGACGATGAAATAACAAGATTTAGGACTCACAACGGTCGATTGCAAAATCGATTTATTGCCATGGCTTAAACTTTATTTTGCTGCAAAGGTCTAAGGAGTTGTTGATGTTGTTGTTGTTAGATGTTTGTTTATGCATTCCCAATTAGAGAGCACTTGAGTTTATTGTTTATCGATTTGTTCGCGATGTGATTTCCGCCTGGTCCACAGCTGCTGTTGTGTGCGTGTGTGTACACACACACTTCAACAGACTGTCTATAATGACACTGATGACAATGACGATGAGCTATTCAATTTATGTAGAGAGCAGGCGATGTGGCCCTTTAGCGCCATTAATTGCTAATTAAGGTTAATAACCTGGCACCAATGGGTAATGGACAATGAGTAGATGCGAACCGCACAGAGTTAACAGTTTTAACTGGCCAAGTTAAGCAGTTGCATGTGCAGTGGCTCCCCAGATGCACTCGACTTGGACGCGGACGTGGACGTGGACATGAACTCAATCGCCTTGCAGCTGACAAGGCGCGTCATACGAGCTGTCGTGCTTCACAATATACAGACACACACACGCACACACACACGCACACACACACACACACACACACACACACACACACACACACACACACACACATACAGAGCACCAAATGAGATTAAAAGTCAAAGCATGGCTGCCAGTGCCTGCTGCGCCTGTGGAGGTTCAACGACATATGACGAAGCGGCGCCTAATTGGATTTGCAACTGCGAGTGGCCGCAGCGCGTGAGTGTGGAGCGTGGAGCGTGGAGCGTGTAGCGTGGTGGCATGGTACAGAGCGCGGCCTAGAGCCAAGATTGAGCAACTACTGCCACATGGCTGCGTCATGCTCTAGGCGCTGCATCCACTATGATGGCCCCCCTTTGATGCAATCAACAGCCCGAAAAAATTCTTGACTAAACAAAAACTAATAAAAGCAGCTCGACTGTGCGATACCCGCCAATTTTCTGTCAGCAATCGCCTAGAGCTGCACAATATTCTTGGACTCTGGATAGCTATATTGATAACTATACCGAGTCTCCTTCGGGCCAGAGATTTGACAACAATTGACTTCTCATTTAGTTATCGGCTATCGATTACCTACGATTTCAGCTTAGAGCATACATCGATTTTTATTCTAAGATGTATCTAAATAGCTGTAAATGAAATATGATACATCATTTATTATATCACAAGCATTTCTTAAGTTATCGATATATCGATAAGTATAGATAACTTTCCATTAAAATCAGATATTTTGTTCGGAAGCTAGTTGCAGTAATGTGATAAGAACTCGATAAACTGTAGCTGTAATCGATATCTACGTCTCATCGAACAGCTATCGATAACTTATCGCATAAATGACGTTGTGCATGCCGCTAAATCTTTGCATTTGCTGCTGCGTGTTGCAGGGTATGAAAAATGCATGGGCGTCAAAATGAAATTAAAGCCGAGGCTGCGCTGACGATGTGTTGAAGGCTAAACGGGCGCGTAGGCGTTAGGGTATGTGGGCGTGGCAAGCTGCAGCTGAAAAGCAATAAAAGTGACAGCTAAAGTTGAGTGCGGCAAAAAGCAATGTTTGCCAGCGTCAAGGCAGATGCTTGGATGGTTGGGCAGCTGGGTGGCTGGGTGGCTGGGTGGCTCAGTGGTCGGGTGGTTAGGTGTTTCGGTGGTTGGGCCCTTTCGAGGTCTGGCAGAGATGTTGGTGCTGACAGCAGCAAACCGAATTTTAAAAATAAAACTTTTCCTTTCCCACACAATAGTTGGAAAAATTCCTTCAGCAGTTTCCCAGCAAACTTCTGACGATATACGGAAAGAGAAATCAATCCATGAAAGGAAACTATCCGTGTCCTATGCATCCCCAAAGAAATTTGTTCCATATTTAATGCATTTCTCATACGCATCATCAGCTCAACTAATGGGGCTCAATGAATTCACAATGAACTCACAATTAACCTGAGTAAACACAGAGCTACTCGTATCTATGACGGTTCTCAGGTGCTTCTAAGCACGCGAGTCTGAGTCTCAGCCTCTCCGAAAATGGGGATAGTTCTGTGCATAGTGTTAGAATCGTTGATGCGACAGGTCTGTGCCTATGCTAGACTTCTGCAAGCGATTCTAATGATTCTTACATGTGCACAGAGCTATCCATTCCTATTCTTCATGAGATGAAGGACTTAGAGAAGGATTTTTGACTCCCAAAAAGTGGAAACTTTTCCCTGTTGTGTTGTGTTTGCTTTAAGATATTGCGAGGCAAGCTTTGACCAAGTTGAACTTATCATGGGTCAGGATGCCCCTTAGAGATTTTGTTCCATTGCTTTATTAGGCAATGCCGAGCTGTTGTCATCATTCCTAGCACCTTTAGAATCAGTTCCATCTGTAGCTTGGATAAGCTATTAGATGTTTGGCCAGGTGCCTGGTAGATAGAGCTCAAATTAGGTTTTTATCCAATGAGATGTGTGCGGCATTTGATTTTCCAGCTGGTTAAATCAAGAGTTACGCATTTGCCTATGCAAATGACAGGGATTTACTCAAGGGAACGGCCCCACCTCCGCTGCCTGCCCATTTTGGCTATGCATATCCATTTCCACTCAATCAGCTGGCATGCAAAGTAAATGTATAGGAGATATATACGATGCCCCGCCCCCACGCCCCCATGCCCATACGCCCATACGCCCATACGCCCCATCGACTTCAAAGTGCATTATTCGACTACATTGGCATACTCATGAGATTTCCATATAAATAATATTCAACTGACTTCTGAGTGTGTGCATGCATGTCCCTCTCTCGCTCTGTCTGTGTGTGTGTGTGTGTGTGTGTGTGTGTACAATATAATCTAGCAATTTGTATTGTTCGATTTGTTCGACTCGTATGGCGATCGTCAAGCGGAAATGCCTTATTAATGAACATGTTTCACCACATATTCACCCAGGCACTCTCACACTCACACATGCACACACAGCACACAGCAGAGAGGCCTACAATATGTCCCGCACAGTAGTGGCCAAAAGAATGTGTACATCAGGCGCAACTCTTCTTACATGTGCATGATATGAAGAAGTTGCTTAAATTACATATATATATATATATATAAATCTAAAAGATCTCACTTAAACTATACATATATCTTATATATACATATATCTTATATATATATCTTATATATATATATATTTAAGAGGTAATTGATATTATTTCTATAGTCTACAGCTAATTATGATTGGATATGGACATATCACGGACCCCGTTAGGTTTTATTTGAATTTTTGGTTCTCACTCGCCTTTCGCTTTTCGCCTTTCCAATGCCTCTCAAACTTTATTACTGTCATTTCACTTTGATGCTTGACGTGATTGCAATACGAATGGGTTTCCGTTTCGATTACAGTTTCACAGCTCGTTAAAAAGTTGAGACCGAGCCAGAAATAATGCCAATTATAATAATAACAATAACGGCTACCGGCTACCGACTGTGTAATACTCTTGAACTTTTAGATGGACTACCCTTATTTGAACTAGCTGAAATGCGGAAATACTCCCAAAAGGAATACTCTCATAGTGGAGCATAATATATGTATATGTTAGCGGGAATACCTTTAATATACTGTTAACATGTTTACTAATGGAACACCCTTATTGTGGAGTGTAATACACTTGCAAAACATATAAAGGGAGTGTGAGTGCGCAAATACCTCGAATTGCGCGCTTCATGCTGGAGTACCCTTATTGAGGCGCATAATGCTGTAAGAATTTAAATAGTGTCGCATATTTTGGGGTTTCACTGCATGTATATTTTGTTTTTCTCCCATTTGCTGTTTGTGGCACGCTCCCAGAACTTTGTTATTGTTGTCGTTGCTGCTGCTGCTGTGGTTGGTGGTTCGTGGTTGGCGGGTTTTGTTGTCTGGCTGTGGCAGCATCTCCAAACCATTTGCCTCATAAATCATTTTCGTTATATTCTTATCCTCTCTCTCTCTCTCTCCTCTCTCTTTCTCGCTTTTAGCGTGGGATATTGGCAACTCCGTGCAGGACGCGTTTGTCATTGCCGTCGAGGAGCACGCTAGGGAGCGTCTACAGCGGTTGGCTGCTTTGAATCGTGTGACGCCCGTGGATATAACTCAGCTCTCGAAAAAGGTAAGACACAGAATGTATTCAGCCATTTCAGCCCAGGTATATATTTCAGCTAATAATCAGATTACACGCCATCAAAGCCTGAACAAAATTGTTGAAGTTTCATTTTCAGAAATTTCATTCAATTTAAAATTTTTGTACACAACTTTTTATTTATTTACTTAACATTGCAACAAATATTTATAGATATGCATAATGTTTTTGAAATATTTACTTTTTTTATAATAAACTGTAACTTTAATGTTTTCTTAACCTTTTCTATATTTTGTTTTTCCATATGTGAACATTTTGTAAACTTATTTGATAGTGTTTTATGCACCCAAATTTAAGTCGATGGCTTATATAGACATGTATATATATATATATATATATATATATATATATGGCAGACATCGATATATATTTGTAATCCATGTTTATTAAATACAAATGATGTCTATGATTGCTACGAAGTCTTGCCAGAAACCTTGAATATATATTCCTTATATATGGGGCAAAGGTTTTTTGTGCTTTGCGCCCATTGAGAGTGAGCAGCCAGCTAGAGGGACAGAGGAAGGCATTTAGTATATATATTCCTGATCAAGAAGACGAGCTGAGACAAATTAAATTAGTCAATTTTCGTCCGTCCGTCCCTCCTACTGCATGAAGATATTCTTGCATATCACACGCAGTAAAAGTTGGACATTTTCGTTCGATAACTCATAGAATTTTCATAATATCGATAAGAATCGATACATTGCTAGGGCTTTGAGCCCTTTTAGCTATATGCATACACGGAGCGGGGTCTTTGCCAGGCAGGCGCTTCCACCTAGAGCTCTTACATATAGTTTATATATATATGTATACATGTATGTATATATGTGTGTGTCAGATTGAGTCAGTTTGCCGCCCAACCAAGTACATTTCCAGAATGCCCATATTTTGTCGCTTCTACGCGTGCATTGACAATCATAAGGACCCTTTTGGAGTGGTCTAAATATCCATCTCAGTCGCAACCGTCTGGTTGCTTTGATTTGACAGCTTATGCTGCTGCTGCAGATGGATGTATACGATTATATGAATATATATGCACAGTGTATATATATATATAACTTATTCAAAACTATTTGCTATGGCAAACATAAAGTTGTGCATTCCTGTTGAATGCCACCTGCCAGGCCACAGTGTTAAAGGGAAAAAGTTATCTACAGAGAAGAAAACATTTTAAATTGGAATATTATTTTTGTTGCAATTGCATAGCACACAGACACATAGATACACACAGCCACAGACACCAACACACACAGCTATAGAAAAGTCCTTTGAGTCTGTAACTCCTGCCTTCAAGAGCAGAACGAGATATTGAGCCGTAGGCAAAGCAACTGACCATTTCACCTGGCCCTGACTGAGCTTTGGTTAAAGAATGCAAAAACGTCGTCAATTCAATTAAAAATTTAACAAACAAAAACACAAGCTAAAACAAATGCAAAAGTCATACAGAAAGAGGGAAAGATAGAGAGAGAGAGAGAGAGACAGAGAGAGAGAGAGAAAGAGACAAGGAACAACTCAAAGTAAGACAACGCGAACTGCTAACAAAATATTATAGGAGATGAACTCAAGTAGCAAGCACAGCAGATACCCTACAATCAGCTTAGCTACAAGCACACATATATTCATAGAGAATCTGTCATTATATTCCACTTCTGAAGGATTTAGAGGTAATACTTTATAAAACAAAGCAATATAAATGCTTTTGATTAAAGAGAAAGAGAAAGAGACAGAGAGAGAGAAGGACAACAATACTGTGGTTCTCTGACTTGGCTGGGTTATATCCGGTACTTGAAGAAGTTTGCTTTAAATATGAATCCAAACATACCCCTTACATTTAAGCTCAGAAAGGTATATAACTTAAGCCTCACTTCAGTCGATGCGAAGCTCTACTCTTATCTTTCTCATTCCTTTAAAATCGCTATGTACGCACTAGCTATACCCTATCCTTTTCATATGTTTGCCGACTTACAGGGTACAACAAATTAACAAAGAATACTGTAAGTTTAAATTAAATTCCAGTTGTTTGGCTAATTGAATAAACCTTAGTAACACAATATATGCATCAGTATGTGTGTGTGCGAGTGTGGGATTGTATTGACATGTATTTGACAGCTGCAATGGAAGCGTGTGTTTGTGTGTGTGCAAGTTTTCGCATGAGAAAAGTTGTTTTGCCCGTTTCACAAAATGAAAACGAATATATTGATTTTATGCAAGCTCTTTCTGTCTGTCTGTCTATCTGTCTGTTTTCCTATTACGCTTTTCCGCTCTTTTTGTAGATTTCCTTTTTCATTTATTCCCTTTTTAAATGCGTATCATATATTTATTTGGCCACGTTTTTTGGGTGCAGCGATGTTCGACCCGCCGAGCTGACAAGTTGCAGCTTTACAGTTTGGCAGCCATTGCTGGAGTCACACAATCGTAAAGGAATGCTTCCTTGTATTTATCGACTGCAAAGTGCACATTGAGGGCATTCCCCAAATGCAAATTGCGAATGTAATTGAATGATTGAACTGCTTAAGAAATAATCTAACAAAAATAAAAGCTTAGAATATCTAAAATATTTATTTTTTTATATTCTAATATTTTACAGAATTGTATATATTATTAAATTAAAAACTCAAGTTAAATTCTGAATGTGCTATTTAAAACTATATTACAGCCAATCAAATTTTAATATATGCAACACTCTTAATATTTTTGCTTAGGAATAATAAAAAATGTTGTATTTCACTTTAATTAATTTATTATATAATTTATTATTATTATTTATTTATTATTTATAAATATGTTAAGTTTTAGTTTTATTTTTATTTATTTTTTCTTAAATTTTTATTTGAAAATAAAACTGGCAAAGCTTTTTGGGTTTTTAATTTTATTTTAACTTTTACTTTTACTTTTTTAATAACAATAATTACTTATAATTTTATGCATTGATTATAATTTCTCATAAATTTTACTTTTCAATGTGAGAAAAATTTTTTTTTGTTTTTTTTTGCAATATAATTATTATTATAAAATTTTGCTCATTTCTTTCAAAGCTTATTTGAAAATGTTTAATTGTATTTCTTTATTTAAAATAAGGATTTCATGTTCAATACCAGTTACTATTATTAATTATTATTAATTATTACCCAAAATTGTTTGTTAAAAAACTTATATCTGGAAATGAAAGTGAGATTTAACAGAAAAAATGATTGATTAAACAGGTTTTGTACATAAAAATAATATAATAATGTATTAATATTTTATTTATTTTTTTTTTCTTTTTTAATATTAACCAAAAATGCTTTTTGATTTGTTTTCAAATTCTTCGCTTCATAATAATATAATTTTATAATAATAATAATTTTATTTTAATATTTCAATTGTTGCTTAAAGTTGTTCAACACTCCTTTTGCTTGCTCAATAACAGTTACTCAACACTAGTAAATAGTGTGAGAAATAATAGTTTGTACAACACTGCTTACTGCTTTGTACATAACAATTTACGCAACACTGCATAAATTTAGCATTATACAACACAGCTAAATGCTTTCAAAACAGTCTGGAGGGACTTACTTTGCAAGAAGCAGACTAAACATTTTCGAACGTTATTGAAATCCGAGCTAAGAACTGAAAACTAAACACTAAAATGTCTCTTTCACATCAGGTTTTTTTGATATTCTAACTCAAGTTCATGAACATTAATATGAGTTTGTGTTTTAAAAATATGGTCAGATTGTTTGATTGAATGTAGTTGAATCAATCATCAGTGCCGCAAAGTAGATGCTGTCTGTATCCATCAGCTTTCATTCGTTTGGTTGGATGAGCTGGATTAAGGAGGTTTTGAGTGCCGTTTCTTAAGTGGTAATTCGGATATGCTCGATGTTGGACAGGTTGGATATATGTTTGGGAACAGATTACGCCAAATGAAGTCTAGTCAATAGGTTATTGCCAGGCCAACTGAGCGGAACCCAGGCGAATCGAGTCAACGATTTGAAATGCGATAAGTGTTTAAGTGCAGCCTCCTCTCGAGCAGATCGACTGGGCGCCAGCTGCCCCAGGACCTCCTCTGCTGTCAACTGATGAGCAGCCTGCCTGATAGAGAGAGACAGAGTCCTACGCATATGGAGCCACCAGCTCGTCTTGACTGTCAATAATCCGATAAAATGTGGCTGAAAGCAAAAAAAATGGAATGAATGAATGAAACGGCGACGTTGATGACAGAAATGAATAGACGAGGGCTGGGCAGGAGGGTAGATTTTGAAGTTAACTGAGTTGGCTTGAGTTTTGTGGGCAGGGCAACCGTATGGATTGGTATGAGAGTCGCAGCAATTGAACGCACAAGTGGAATGTGCACGAAGCGTGAAGCATTTTGTTGACGACAACGCTCACAATACAGATTAGAGTATGTATACATACACACACACACACATACACATACATACATATTGATATATATATACATATATGTGTATATAGCCATGTCTAGTTGGCACATAAAGACAGATATAGATATTGCATTCGCGTGGCTGGGCAGCTTCACAGTTTGGCAGCTGCTGCCCCACCTGTTGCCGCGGCGGATGCGGAGCAGCGGAAATGCCGAATGGGGAGATGGGAATTGGTGTAGGGCACGGAATTGGGAATTAGTGTAGGCAACGGGAACGGGAACGGGAACGGCATTGGGAATGCTATCGATGTTGACATTCATCAGATTAGCTGGCAAGCAAAGCTCTAATGCCATCTATAGATTCAGCGAACAACACTTTGGACTCGCAGATTCGTTTAATTGCCCACTTGGGGAATTCTTGCTGTCACTGGCATACAGTTTGGCAGGCACTGTGCGGGCGCAGGCTAATTGCTCAGCTACTCTGCCATGCGTCGGGGTGCGGCCAATGTCTGGGTCTGTGGACGCCTTTTGTTGCCAGCCCACGCAGGCAGACAGCGATGCCAAGGCACACCTACGCCTGTGACACATGTGAACAAAAGCCTCTAAATGCTACAGTAAACACTCACTAACATGTGACAAAAGCAAAGCACACGAAGATCCAAGCTGCGACTCTTTTCATTGTGTAAATTAATACAACGTTACACAAAACTCGCTTGGCTGCCTTAAATCTAAGAGTATGTGCACTTCAGCAGTTCTATCTCATTTCATTCCGTATCATAAGCGATTGTGAATGTGAGAGAAAGAGCATGTTTCATTTCATTTCATTGGTGGAAGGTAATGAAATGTTTCTGAAAGAGCCTAGAGCAAAACTAAAAGTATTCCATTCCATTTCGTTTCATTCTCCATATCCTTGTTTTTGCCATCTTTTAGTATATTTTTTTTGTATGCCATATCGTTCCATTACTTCAACTATATTCGTCTTTTATCGATAGTTATCGATATAATGCAAAGTCTGATAGCATTCGCAAAAACTCCTGCCTACACATGCAATTTCCAGAGTTTAAGCATTTAGCAGCAATTTGGCGGGATTGTAGCAGGCGTTCACTGTAGGCGTACATTATTAATGCGTATTAAATTTAGCGCCCTGTGACGTACACAAAGCCAACGCGAAAGCCAAGCCAACGCTTGGGCCCAGGCATTTCTGCTCTTTGGATTATTTTGGCTGGCTTCATTTTAATGAAATGTTGATTGATTTGCATTTGCGAACAAAGGATCACAGCAGCATTTAATATAGTTATGTATGTGCCTAATACATATATAAACATATATGTATGCATATACCGAGCACCACATGGGAGCTTTTATCGCCTATGAAACGGGGAATGAGTGTGGGGGAGGGCATGGCTGGAATATCTCCTACAGCTGAGCCTTCAACGTAAGGTAATTGAGTTTGACAAACATTTGTGCGCACTTTACGTTGAGTACGCTAAATCGATATTCATCGGTTTGTTTGCAAACGACTCAGTCAACGAAAAAAGCCAGCTATGCGTATGACATGCTAAGAGTTATACGTATTTTATTTTATTTTCTATACAACACTCGATGGATGGTAGATGGACAGAGGTACCATAATATTGTTTTGTCTTTTATTATCGATTTTTTGTTCAATTTTATACACTTCACCAAGAAAAGTGTGACTGGCTTACTTATCGATTACGGTTAAGTGATAAACCAGTTTACATAAATCAATACAGTGATTATCGATAAACGCTTTAAGTCAGACGAAATATTTCTCTTACTTCGTCTCTATCATTCTCTCTCTTCCTATCAGACGGACAAAAAGCCTCTCTATCTTTTTTTCTCTGTCTTACCTTTTCTCTCTCTCCTCCCTTTCATTTTCTCTCTATCGCTTTCTTTCTCTCCCTTTCCTTTTCCATATCTCTCTCACTCTTGACGGTCTCTCTATCGCTTGCTCTATCTTTCTCTCTATCTCTTGCTCTATCTTTCTCTCTCAATCCTTCTATCTCCTGCTCTATCTTTCTCTCTATCTCTTGCTCTATCTTTCTCTCTCAATCTATTTATCTCTTGCTCTATCTTTCTCTCTTAATCCTTCTATCTCTTGCTCTGTCTTTCTCTCTCAATCTATCTATCTCTTGCTCTATCTTTCTCTCTCAATCCTTCTATCTCTTGCTCTATCTTTCTCTCTATCTCTTGCTCTATCTTTCTCTCTCAATCTATTTATCTCTTGCTCTATCTTTCTCTCTCAATCTATTTATCTCTTGCTCTATCTTTCTCTCTTAATCCTTCTATCTCTTGCTCTGTCTTTCTCTCTCAATCTATCTATCTCTTGCTCTATCTTTCTCTCTCAATCCTTCTATCTCCTGCTCTATCTTTCTCTCTATCTCTTGCTCTATCTTTCTCTCTCAATCTATTTATCTCTTGCTCTATCTTTCTCTCTCAATCCTTCTATCTCTTGCTCTATCTTTCTCTCTCAATCTATCTATCTCTTGCTCTATCTTTCTCTCTCAATCCTTCTATCTCCTGCTCTATCTTTCTCTCTATCTCTTGCTCTATCTTTCTCTCTCAATCTATCTATCTCTTGCTCTATCTTTCTCTCTCAATCCTTCTATCTCCTGCTCTATCTTTCTCTCTATCTCTTGCTCTATCTTTCTCTCTCAATCTATCTATCTCTTGCTCTATCTTTCTCTCTCAATCTATCTATCTCTTGCTCTATCTTTCTCTCTCAATCCTTCTATCTCCTGCTCTATCTTTCTCTCTATCTCTTGCTCTATCTTTCTCTCTCAATCTATCTATCTCTTGCTCTATCTTTCTCTCTCAATCCTTCTATCTCCTGCTCTATCTTTCTCTCTATCTCTTGCTCTATCTTTCTCTCTCAATCTATCTATCTCTTGCTCTATCTTTCTCTCTCAATCTATCTATCTCTTGCTCTATCTTTCTCTCTCAATCTATCTATCTATCCTTCTGTTTTTGTCACTCCCCATATTTTCTCTTTTTCTTTTGTTTTCTCTTTTTATTGCTGAGCCACTTAACTCTTTGCTCTTATCAAATATAAAATGATCTCTGATCTCTCTCAATTTGTGATTGATTTGCATCCGGTGTCATTGCTCCGCTTGGCCATCGCACGCGCAGCTGCAGCAAACGAAAAGTGGCACCACAGCGAGCCAAAAGCAGGATCTCAGCTTCCTGAACGAATCAACGCCCATCTATGTGACGTCCTTTAGCAGCAATCAAATTACCTGTAGCAGCGCCACGATGACAACGGCCACAGCTGGCGGCCCCATCAGCACCCCCTCGTTGGCGCCGACCACAGCGACGGCAACGACATCAACGCCAACAGCAGTGCCATCGGCTGCGCTGATGAGTGCCGCCGTGGCAGCAGCTACAGCGGCAGCGGCTGCTGCAGCAACAGCAGCAGCCAATGCCGAACGCAATGCTGAACGCAGCTCGACGACGGCGGCAATTGTTGGTGCCACAGCAGCTGCGGCGGCGGCAGCGCTAAAGCAGCCGCCAGCAGGCAATAAGACGAGCAGCGCCACTGGCCACATCTACCAGACCAGCCAGGCGCAGCAGCAACAGTTGCAGCAGCTGCAACAGCAATTGGCAGCGGCTGCTGCCGCCGGCAAGCCGCTGCAGGCGAAATCACTGCTCGCGAGCAGCTTGCAGCATTTGGCCGAGGAGGTGGACGATGAGGATATGGACGACGACGATGATGATGTGGATGGTGCCAACTATTGCGGCATCACCTACATTAGCTACAACAACAAGCACGCCCAGTTGCCGACAACAACGCTGCCAGCAACAACAACGCTGCCCGCTGCAGCCGCAACGCTGTCGACAACAGCGGCGATCCATCAGCAGCGAAAATCGCAAACGAAAACGCAAACGCAGCTCCAGCAAGCGAACAGGCCGTTGCCGCTGCAGCTGGGCAGCGATGCTGTTGCTGGTGCCGCTGCTGGCGGTGCTGGCGGTGTAGGCGGTGTGGGCGGTGCGGGCGTTGTCCATTTCGTCGATGCCCAGACCTCAACATCGCCGCTGGCAACAGGAGCGAACAGCATTGTGACAGCGGCTGAGATTGCCTTGCCAGCGCATGGACACGGCCATGTGCACGGGACGACCACGCCCAAGACGGAGTATTCAACGGCCATATCCAGTGGACAGTTGCAGCAAGCCTTTGCCGACTTGCAGCAGCAGAGCAGCAACATGAGTAACAACAACAACATCGCGTGCCAACAGCAGCAGCAGCAGCAGCAGCAGCAACATTTACTTTTAAGCAACAACAATAATAGCAATAATTGCATCACATCAGGCAACATCAGCAGCTGCAGCAGCAGCATCATTGGAGCGTCCGCTATAAAAAATTGTGATCTACTAATATCGAATAATTTGTATCCACCGCGACGAGAGGTGAGCGAGCGACAGCAACCGTTGCTGTTGCTCTAGTAGCTGTTGTTGCATGCGTCCTGTCTTCTGCTTTATGTTTTCATTTGATTTGATTAGCTTGACTCTTGAGTGTCTAATTCGTTATCTAATACCATCTCTCTTCCTCTCTCTTTGTGCCACCTTTCCTTTCTCCTTCTCTCTCTTGTAGTTACTAACTACGCTTAACGATGACATCATTGTGCATAAGTCCAGCGATTGCCTTGGCCAGCCGTATAATACAACTGCAGCGCTGCCAATAGCTGGCATCAGCAGCAGCTGCAGCCAGCAACAGTTGCCGTTCGACCCGCAACAACAGCAACAACTACAACAGCAGCAGCAGCAGCAGCAGCAGCAGCAGCAGCAGCAGCAGCAACAGCAGCCAAATAGTCCCACAAGTAGCATATCAAAAGGAAGAACTGAACTCTTACTTGGTGATCAATTGTTGCGACAGGAATCAAGGTAAGTTCAAGTATGAACTAGTTCCGAAGAGCCATGCAACTCAAATTTAACAATTAATTAACAAGTTCCACAAATGTTGACACCTAGTTCAAGAGTTATGCAGCTCAAATTTGATTTAATGTATCCAACAGATAAACGATATAAGACAAATCTAGTTGGGAAACTAGTTCCAACGATATATGAAACCAGCTCATGAGCTATGCAGCACAAGTTCGCTTAGGTTAAAGTTAACAGTTAAAGCATCTTTTAGTCTGATAAATAATACTAAACTGACAATAATACTCTACGCAGTTCCTAAAATATTTAGATCTATCGAAAAATTAGCATGTTTCAATATGTCAAGCCCAAGGGTTCGGTTCATACGATTCAATTTAGTTCTACATGTAAACATAGTAAACCTAGTTTGAAAACTTTGACTTTGTGTCTGTGATGATGCTTCCTTCTCCACATATATAACATATCTATCAATATTTAAAATCATCCTTAGACACAAGTATGTTAAGCAACACCATAAAATAATTTGAGCATCGGAGTTGATTGTAACTACTTAATATATATATGTATATATATATATATATATATATATATATATATATATAATTATATAATATAAATTAATATAATAAATTAATATAATAATATAATATAATATAAATTAGTTAGTCATGGCGCTACGTTCGTAGCAGATAGCTCGATCCCAAATATTTAAAGACTATTAAACTGAAAAATTTAATATCTTTGGCTTTGTGGTTTTCGAGATGAGAATGAGCAGCAGATATTTCTTATAAAAAATGAGAAATATATCATTTCTTTCATATCCTATTTAATACTTCAAAAGTCAAAGACTCTACATTTATTAAAGAATGCGACATCTGAATTGAATTCTGATTTCCTATTTATTGAAGCTAAGTAGCTTCTAGTGGCCCCAGAGCTAGACTTTTTTGAATGTTGGGCATTTCTTCCCAAATGTGTAAAATAAAACATTAAAGAGACTTGTGTTTTGGCTAATTGATGCCATTACTACGCTCTGAGCAGTCCATAGTGTGCGTTGGTTATGTATGCTATGAGGTAGGACAGGGTCGCCCGATGGAAATTGACAATGATGATGAAAAACTGGTTTAAGGTATTACATGGTCGATCGATATATATATATATATATATATATATATGTATATATATATATATATATATATATATATGTATTCGCACAGATGAACAGCAAGAAATGGGGCTAAACAAAGTCAGCTCCATATTCAGATCAAGAGTCTATATACACTAAATGGGAGTCTCCTCTCTTTTCAAAGTTATCGTAATGATTCGATAGCACAAATACCGTTCGAATATTTTCTATATGGTAGTTCACAGCACAATGACTTGGCAACTGTTCATGCTCAGCGCTTGTCAAACTGCATTTGCTGTATGCGAATTGTGTTCTGTGCGTTGCTCGCTCTTTCTCTTGCTCCCTCTCTCTGCCTATGTGCGCGTCTCTGTGTGTGTGCGTGTGTGTATGTGTGTGCATACGTTTGTTTGTTTGTTTGCTTCTCTATTTTTTTTTTTTTTTTTTATTTCTTTATTTTGTTGCAGCTTATTGTCTTAGACTCTATAGCGCATTTAGCTCTAAACCTTAACTAATGGGAGGGCAGATATGCCAATTATTCTGCACTTGTAGCTACTATCTTAATTAGTTCTAATATTGTCTAGAGGATGCAATCTCTTCAGTCTTCGCCTATTGTTGTTTATAGCCAGGTTGCTTGCGAGATGGTTAGGATGCGCTGCAAGTCTGTCCGCGTATCTTGAACTGTGTCGCCCAATGAGTTCAGCAACTGTGGGAATTGCTAAATCCCTATGTAAGACTGAGTTTCTTACAAACCAGCTGGCTCCAGTCCATCTGCGTAGTGCTTTATTCTGCAGGGTCTGAATTTTGTTCCTTGTAGTCTTCGCCGAGGAGCCCCATAGAGAGATACCATATACGAAGGTTGGGACAACTATTGCCTTGTAGATGGCGGCCTTGCTGCTGTAAGACAACTTGCTTGAAGCTCTCAGCATCCAGTCGAGGGTTTTTAGCTTGCTTTTGCATTTTGAGGTTACTTGACTTATGTGCGCTTTAAAAGTCAGCCTTCTGTCAAGAGTGATACCAAGGTACTTTACTTTTGAGGCTTTGGGAATAGTGGGCCCCAATGCAACGCTTGGGCAATCTCCTCTTCTAGTGGCGAAGGTAGTATGTACAGACTTTTGTGCATTAATGGTGATACACCACCGTTTTGCCCAGCGTCCGAAAGAGTCCAGATATTTTTGTAGTGAGTCTGAAGCTTCTTGCGCAGATACGTGACGTGATAAGATGGCGGTGTCATCTGCATAGGTCGCTATGAGTACTGCATCTGTACTTCCTATATTTGGCTCGGGAGTTGGCATATCTCCTGTGAATAAAGTATAAAGTGTTGGGCCTAGAACACTACCCTGTGGTACTCCAGCCATAATTGGTCTAGTCAAGGATACTGTTTGCCCCCTTGACACTTGGAAGGTTCTTCCAATAAGGTATGAGGATAGCAACGCGAAAAATGGGGCTGGAAGGGTGGTCCTCACTTTCTGCAGCAGTCCCAGGTGCCAAACTCGATCAAACGCCTGTTTGATGTCTAAAAAGACGGCAGAGCAGTACATCTTTTCTTCAAAGGCTCCAAGGATATGGTGCACAACTCTGTGAACCTGTTCCGGTGTTCCATGCTGTCTCCTGAAGCCAAACTGATGGTTTGGAATGGCCTCCTGGCGTCCCAGATGTGTCAGTACTCGTTCCAGAAATATTCTTTCGAATATTTTGGAGAGTACTGGCAACAGGCTAATTGGTCTGTACGACTCAATTTCTCCCACGGGTTTGCCAGGCTTAGGAATCATCACAATCACGGCGCGCTTCCAGCAGGCTGGAAAGTGCCGGATGCGGAGCATGGCGTTGTACACCATAGTTATGTAGTCTATGGTGGAGTCAGGCAGTGCTCTAAGGACTCTGCCGTTTATTAGATCATATCCAGGGGATTTTTTTGCCTTCACTCTTCTGATGTGTTCAAGAACCTCTTCTTTTGTACATCCAGTTATCTGGTCTTCAGCTGGGAGGGGCGAGAGAACGATGTCTTCTGTTGCTTCGATTTCTGAGGCCTCTGCGGTAATCACCGGCGTGAATTGGTCTTGAAGGTGGTTTGCAAAAGCCTCAGCTTGAGCTTCGTCTCCAATGTGCCAGGAACCAGAAATGCTCCGAATGGGATGACGTCGTATTGGCTGCCGTTTGAGCTTTCTTGTAAATTTCCATAATTGAAACTCTGCGTCAGTGGGCGATTCAGCTCGTACCAGCGCATCGCTGATACACCTCTTTTGAAGCAGGGCGAGAGCAGCTTTAAGATGCCTCGTGGCTTCGTTGTACATGGATTTGGCATCAGGCGTGCGTAATCTTAACCAGCGTCTCCTGGCCCATCTTTTGTGTATTAGTAGGTGTTGGGCCTCCAAGGTGAGGGGGATGTTGTACGGAGACTGTTGTCTTGTTTGGCAAGATGGTGGGGCGGCTTGGTGCGCAGCTTTGACTATTTCTTCCTGCAGTTTGTTTGCTGCGTAGTCCACGTCTTCAGGAGTGTTAAGTTCCATTTCTATGTGCAAAGAGTAATGGAGCTCGCGCCTAAAGACTCCTAAATCTGATCCTGCTGGCAGTAGTTGTTTCCTAATGGGCAAGGGCTGTGGCTGCGCGTGGATTGTGACTATTAGTGGCAGGTGGTCAGAGGATAGGTCCAAGGATTCTTCAATGGTCAATTGCCGGTCACAGATGCCTTTGTAGACAGCGAAGTCGATTGCCGAGGGCCTGTGTCCATTAATTGGGTAACGGGTGGGGGCTCCAGTCGCCAATATGCTGAATTGTAAGTTTTGAATCGCCTCAAATATGACTTCTCCGCGACGATTCGCACTATTGCTTCCCCAAAATGGGTGCCATCCATTCCAGTCGCCGCCGATGAGGGTCTTATTCAACCTTTGGCCTAGAACCTGTTCCATGTGATGATCACACAGACCAGTGTTTGGCGGAAGATAAATTGACGCAACTTCGATCGCTCCAATAGACGTAGGCAGGGTGATGGCTGAGACCTGCATTGTTGCGTTGCAAATTGGCAGTAAAGGTGTATGCGGTATTGTTGCTCGTATGAGGATTGAGGATCCACCAAAGCAGTTTGCTCCTTCACCATGAGCCTGATAGTGTTCGTATCCGAAAATTTGTGTAGTGGGGCACTCATGAGTTTCTGTTATTAACATTATATCTATGTTTTCTTGTGAGAGAAACGCAGCCAGTTCCTGAGTCTTGTTTCTCAGGCCATTGGCGTTCCAGATACCCACACGTAAAGCCATTATTTGTAGGCAAGCTTGGTTATGATGGCCATTAAACTGTTTAGCATGGTTGCTTGTTGGGATTGTACTTCTCGCATCGCTTTGAGCTCGGCATTAATTGCGTCAAACTGACGTTGTTGTTGCTGAAGCATTTCAGTGAACAAAGTGTCACTTGTGGTATTCTTATTTGACGGTCCACCTCTAGCGGCCTGTGCGTAAGAAACACCACTAATAGGCGTTGCAAAGCTCGTGGCTTGGGTAATGCTCCGGGGCCTTGTAATTTCGGAAGCAGTACTCGGACCCGTAGACGGTGTTTGTGTGGGACTCCTTTTTTGTGCTGGGGATTGCAATTTGCGCAACCGCTTGTATACTTGGCAGCCCTTATAGTTGGCTGGGTGCTGTAACTCACAGTGCACACAAGTTGGTGCCTGGTCCTTTTCGCGGGTGCAGTCTTTGGATGCGTGTTTCCCGGCGCAACGCACACATCTGGGAGCTTTGTGGCAGTAGCGTTGTGTGTGTCCAAATTCTTGACAGCGATGGCATTGTGTCAGGTCGTTGTATCTTCTTGGCAGTTCCACTGTGCAGCGTTGCCTGCAGACAACTCGAATGTCCAAAATTTCTTTGTTGTTGGGGGCCTGAGCCACGTC